ATTTTTTAATTTTACCTCATTAATGAGGTGGCAATATTTGATGAGCTTAGTGCATTAAATATAAATCCTTTTTAAATTTCATGTTCAAGTTCATCCTATCTTGACTTTAGTACAATTTTGTATAATCTTAAAAAAATAATAACATAAAGAGCTGTGAAAAAAAATGGAAAAGAAATCTTCGATGATGTTATATATATTTAAGTTTTAAATTATTTAGTTATATTTTAACTATATACTTGACCAGTTATATATTATTGTTAAAACATAGCAGGTTACTGTTATATTCTTACTACTCATATTTATATATATATATATATATATTTGATATACATAAGATTTTATTAAAAATATTAATTATAAGTCAATGAATTTTCGTGTGCTTCCATACAGGGAATAAAGGTTCTACTCCATCCTAGGCTCCAGCCATTCTTTAAGCCCCACGGAGCTTCATGGCCTAATTATTTTAGGAAAAATAAAATCAATAATTGCATATTGCCAAATCATATACATCTTTATTTTCATTTAGATTATGTGTAGATTTAATTTATTTATTTATTTATTTTAGTTCATGATTATCTGCCACTAATATTATAAATTGAATTTATATTTGATACACTATTAATATATAGATCCTATATATTATTAGATGAACTAAATGTTTATCTCTTCATTAATAAATAAATAAAGATTCAATTACAAGCAGGGAAAAACCTCTGATATGTAATGAGATTTAGGACCTTTACAAGAGAATACTTGGATGAGGGAGTGAGATCATTTTGGAGGCAACTACAGTCTGCAAGTCAAGTCCTAACCAGCATAGCTTGTTGTGCTTGTCTGTACAGGTCATGTTTGTTGACAAAGAACTCATAGGTGGGAGGTTTAACTTGGTTAGGCTTTGATAGTTTAGTCAGTTTAATTTACAAAAAAACAGGATAAATAAAATTTAATCTTTCCTTATACTATAAGACAAAACTAATAAGTGGGATATAATTAGATTTTGTTTTCTTTTGTCATTTGATTCCTTCATCAGCCGCCCCATCAAGTTTAAATCCTTCTGGTGTTACTAATATAAAAGGATGGAAAAAGAAAGGGTGCTCATTACTTTATATAAGAATGATGCAATCTGCACCCCCGCCCCCCCTTTGTTTTTGCCAGGCTTTGACCTTCAAATTGAAAATGAACCATCCAATTGTTACAGCTTTCATAAATGAAACTAGACCCTCCAACATATAGAATTATCTAAATTTGTTATTGATTATTCTCCTTTAACTCACAGCTCATTTCTCGAACATGCACCCCACGTTCAACCATTACATACACTAAAATGGAGAAACCAACACAACAATCACCACCCCAAAATTTTGTCAAACTCTCTAAACTCCCCAAGATCACACCTCTGTCTAAAATCCTTTGGAAGAGGGGACTCCTTTTTGTTTCTTTTGGTCTCCTTTCCCTCTTCCATACCTCTCTCGTACAACAAAGACAAACAACAATACCTTTCTCTCCCTTTGTTATTTGTTCTTTGTATTGCTCGACTCCTTGCAACGAGTTGTTTTCCAGAAACATTAAAAGATGGTTCGGGCTCTTGAACAAGAACAAGAAAATTATAGGTCTAGGTTGTTTCATTTCAGGGATATGAATGAGAACACAGGAAGACATGCAAAGAGTTTGAGTATTGAGAGTGCTACTAGATTAGAAGAGGCAGGTATGGGGGAAGAGGTGGCAGTTAGAAGTCAGGGATCAAGAACTCAAAATGATCTACAGTCATTGAATAGAGGCGACAGGGGTCTCAGGTCAAGGATGGGCAAGGAAGAAATGGCTGCTGCCTTCCAAGCCAGAGAAAAGCAGCTATTAAATGGCAAGTTTCATACTTCTTTAGACTTGGGATGGATTTAACTGCCTGCAATGTTTTATACTATATATTTCCATTGAATTCTAGGAGTCATCAATAATCTTTCAAATTTTGATATGATTGAAAGAAAATAAACAGTATGATATGTTATAGATTAATTCCTCTAAGCAGAGAGTTTTATGGTATAGAATTATACATCCCTAGAGAAACATTTTTCTAATGTTGGAGATTTTGGTTTTCTATATTATAAAACATAAAGAGAAGGCTGGCTTCTTGTTGTTGACTGTTGGTTATGAAAAATATGCCATGATTTTGATTCAGATATGGAGCAGATGAAGGAAAAGTTTGCTAAATTACTCTTAGGTGAGGACATGTCAGGTGGAGGGAAGGGAGTTTCGTCAGCTTTAGCATTGTCAAATGCCATTACAAACCTTGCTGGTATTTTCTCCTTTCCTGTTTTTTCTCTCTGCTTTATGATACAGCAATAAATTGGGAACGGCTTTTGCCTAATCAATAGGAAATAACAATACTTTGGTCTTATCAGTATATATGCTCTCCTATATTTATCAATTTCTCTTGATTCTGTTTCTCGTTATACATCAATGGCTTTCAGCTTCTGTCTTTGGTGAACAATCACGCCTAGAGCCTATGTCAGCTGAAAGGAAAGGAAGGTGGAGAAAAGAAATAGATTGGCTCTTATCTGTCACTGATCACATTGTTGAATTTGTTCCATCTCAACAGAAAAACAAAGATGGATCAAACATGGAGGTATCTCTCTCTCCGCCTCTTTCTGACTGTATCTGAGCAATTATACGACTATATCTAAATGCATACATGCATTTTCTCCAGGGATCAAGTGTAACTTAGAATCTTTATTTCTTGATTATCAGATAATGGTCACAAAGCAACGGGCAGATCTTCATATGAACATTCCTGCCTTGCGGAAAATTGACACATTGCTTACTGTAAGGACATAGACTTATATATGCTTTTAGTTCATTTGAGCATAGATTTGCTCAATGGTGATAATAATCAAGCAACAAACTAGTACCTCTTTTAATGATGCTAAACTTACAATGCTCAGGACTGTCTAGATAACTTCAAGGACCAAAATGAATTCTATTATTTGTCAAGAGATGCCCCAGACTCAGAAAAAGGAAACAACAAGAGGAAAGATGACAAATGGTGGCTGCCTACTGTAAAAGTTCCCCAAGATGGTTTGTCAGATGCATCAAGAAAAAATCTGCAGTACCAAAAGGATTGCGTGTCTCAAGTGCTTAAAGCAGCAATGGCAATTAATGCCCAAGTTCTGTCAGAGATGGAGGTCCCTGAAAACTATATCGAGTCCCTCCCCAAGGTAAAGAAGGAAAATTCCAAATATCTAAAATGTTGCATGCAATCTAGTTTCACAAATCCCTTGCTCTTCTTTACCTTTTGTTGTTTATTTTTTTTAGAATGGGAGAGCTAGTCTTGGTGATTCAATCTATAGGAGTATCACAGTTGAATTCTTTGATCCTGATCAATTTCTCTCCACTATGGACTTATCATCAGAGCACAAGATTGTAGACCTCAAGAATAGAATTGAGGCATCTATAATAATATGGAAGAGGAAAATGAACCAAAAGGACGGAAAATCAGCTTGGGGTTCCGCTGTTAGCTTGGAGAAAAGAGAACTCTTTGAGGAGAGAGCTGAGACCATCTTACTCATTATCAAACAACGGTTCCCAGGAATTCCTCAATCTTCACTAGACATCAGCAAAATCCAATACAACCGGGTACTTGATTTTGCTGATACATAGAAATTTTTTATAAAACATTGGCATGATCCTCTGAGGCAATGCATCGTTACTATCTACTATTGCTTTTTCTTAGTGTCCTATCACAATGATAGCTCAAGTTTTCCTTTGAATGTAAGCATAGCCTGAGAATGTCAAACCTCTCTTGGTCCTTCTCATGGTAAAGGCTGCTTGATCCATGAGAATATCACCTATGCCTTGGAAACTTATTTTATGGATTTTTGTTGGCATCACAGGATGTAGGGCAGGCTGTCCTAGAGAGCTACTCAAGAATACTGGAAAGCTTGGCCTTTACGGTCTTGTCTAGGATTGAAGACGTCCTCCACGCTGATTTTGTTGCCCAAAATCCCAGTCAAGCATCATGCAAAAGGAACCCTTTAACGGAAGACAGCCAACCTATTTTGGTGCTTCCAAACCCAAAATATGATGCGGATACGCCCAACTCCATGACCCTCTCAGATTTACTTACCTGGAGTCTAGATCAAAATGACTCTGAGGCTAACAAAGACTCGACAGACGAGTTATCCAAAGAGGGAGACGCAAAGCATATGCAGAAACTAAGCGTAGTGACTAACAAGAAGGTTTCCTATCTTGAGAGCTTGGGTGGATTAAGAAGCCCAACGGCACGCCATTAAAGACAACAATAGCGGAGAAGATTAAGGGAAAATAATAGAACAACTGAAAGCTGTTAGAGCGATAGAAAGATAGAGAGAGTGTGATAGATTAAGGAATATAAAGAGTGAGAAAGCCTGACCTTCACATATAATTTTTCACACCTAGGATGGATTACTCTGACTTGTGGGCTGCTTTATTATTCTATTCCTTCCTTTTGTAAATAGGGAAGATAACTAAAGCTGTGGAATTTAAAGCATTTATATATGCTATCTTTGAAAACCAATAAAGGGGTTGTAGTTTGATAGCCACTGAACAACAAATGATTTATGACTTTATCTTCAGAATCCGTGTTTCTCAAATGCTATCACACCCAATAGCTATTTATCCCCATTGATTGTAGAATTGTCCCGTCGTTATTAAGCTGTCGCTATCCTACATTTTCATACGGTGGATCAATCACTTGGTAGTAGATATGACTTGTGATATAATCACACGAATTCAGCATCTTTCCAGAGAATGAGGCTTTTATTAGTTATGACTCCCCTGCTGAAGAGAAGTAAAGGGCAGATGAAAGCAACGCTGAGCAGCCTTCTTACCAGAAGAAGGTTCAAGGTTTTCTTAACAGTGGCAATCGGCGGTAGACATTTTCAATTCTTGATTGGCAATACTGATTTGTTATCAGACATGACGGGATCACTATCAAACACCACAGATTGGAACTAAAAGTAATGCATCAATTAAGCACATGAAACAAATGTCACTGGATTGAAAGTTAACAAAGGTGCTTTGTAGCATTACATTTCTCAAAACTAAAAGAAGATACATACAATGAGAAGCTTATAAGAGTTATACTAAATTAGATCTTGCCACGTGGCCCAGGCTTTGGTGGAAGTTGTGGGCCCTTCTTGATTGGTAGAAGGTCATCAGGAGCAGTGGCACTGACAAACAGAAGGAGGGAAGCACCTCCCAAGATCAGGAACTTGAGCAACAATCCTCTCTTGGTGAATGGAGCTGCAAATGTCTCAAAGAACTTGCTCTGCAATTCCAAACGCTTGTGCGCAATGTTAGTGAATCTTAAACATTCTCCTACTTGCTTATCAGGAATTATTGCAAATAATTAAGGTGAATTTGACAGGACTTAAATCATTCTTGACCAATTGCTGGAGACATGGGTAGCTGTATGCCTGACTCTTCCCATGTTTGAGATGACCGTTAGTAATTAAACTAAACTAACAACAGTTAACGTTGCTACCTCTATATGTTACCAGAATAATAGCAATGACCATTGTCCAGGATATTGTCACTGTCTTAGATTCATAAATCTTGGAATGGGGTCAAGAAATTTCAGTATTCTACATCCTTCATGATTTTACTTTGCTTTGAAGATTTAGTTGTAAAACCTAGCTCAGTTGGTTAGAGCACCCATTTAGTAAGAGGGAAGGTCTCGAATTCGACTCTCAATGAAAGCAGGTTCCATTCAGCATCAAGTTTGATTGCAAAAGTCAATCTTGACCATAAGTGTTTTTTGGATAGAGGTTTCCATTAACATGAATGAGCTAGTATATCATATACTATATCATAAGGCATCAACCAGTGTAAAAGTAGTCTGTAAATCCTTCCCCAACTATCAAATTCGTCAAAATGAGAAATAAGGTTCAAACCTGGAGAGAGTTGTATGGTGAAGGGGCATCAGATCCATACAAGTCCCATTGCCCTGTTGTGTTGCCCAAATCCTCCAAATCAAAGTACACGCTCTTATCACCATACTTTGCTACCACAGCACCAGCCCTATCAAATACCAAAAAAGACATTCAAGAAAGAACTATAAAGATTAGCCACCCTCATAATCAAAGAGCCAAATATTTAAACAATATTATATATGTATAAATCGGGCTCAAAGCATAAGGATTTATTTCCAGGCAACACAAATCAGGTTACCTGTAGTTTTTGGGTTTGAAACTCTGGCGACTTGGCTTGACAAAGAGCTTGGTTCCACTGAGGGAGCTTCCACCAAGGCCCTTGATGGTCGTGGGTTGAACAGCAGCTAAGGTTGCAACAGAAGCCATTGCCTTGGTTTTGGTTCCTGACTATTTTTCTTGCAGGTTTTGGTTCAACTGGCAATGGGGATGTTTGGGTTTTTGATCTTCTGCGTGGATCTCAACTGGACACGTGGCGAACTGGGTTTTCTTGAGAGAGATATGGAGTCCCATTTGGCTGGTGCCACGTGGATAGACCTGGATAAGCCTATCCATTTTATAATCTTCAAAAAAGAAAAGAAAATCATAATAATAACGGGCAGTGTTTAGCGCCTCAAAGTATTCAGCTGCTATATTTTAGTTGTCCACTGGGGATTCAATTAGCTCAATAAGAATCCATACGATTGTAGCAAAATCTCATCACCCATAGTTCCCATTATCGAGTCAGTAACTTGTATGAGTGGGGTCAATAATAGTAGTATTTTTTTATTTATAATACTTTTAATGTCCTATTGAAAAAATTAAATATAGAAACAAATACACCAAAATATAATACAATTTTCAAATAAAAATATTTATTTTACAATTTATCCGTAATGAAAATTAGCTCATAATCGTTTCATTAGTGATGCTACATCATTTTGTTTCTCCAACTTTTCCCTTTGCTAACCAAAACCTTTAAAAAATAAAATAGTTCAAATAGATGAATACGATACAATAAACTATTTTTTAAAATTAAAAATTACTAAAAAATACATGTCAAAAAATTCTTTAAACTTAGAAGTTGAACTTACACTCTTAGTAAAAAAACTATTAAATATAGTTAAGTTCAGTTGAAATTTATTTTTTTTATTCTCGTTTTCAATTTCTTAACTAATTTTAATGGTTTCAATATAAAAAAAATATTAATTTTTTATAAAATTATATTTGATGTATTAATAGTGTATAATTTTTATACACCGTCAAGTCATGAGATAGTGTCACTTTATCAAAAAATAAATTTAAAACTTTTAACGACTTGAAAATAAATATAATCAATTTTCTTTGAAAAATGAAAACAAATTTTGTCTCTCTCCAATTCCCTCTCACCCATTCTCCTTCTCTTCTTCTCCCATTTTCCATCCCCTATACGTAAAAAATGTTATACTTAATACTTCTTCAATAAAAAGCCCTACAAGATTTTTTATTTTGGAAAATTTCAAATTAAGTTTAATTTTTTTTAAGATGAACAAACTTACACTTCATTGAATTACCTTAAAAAAATAATGAAATTATTTAAATTAAATCAAATAGTCTTCCTTAGCAAACCAACTTGTTTGATTAAAAAGTTTGCCTAGAAAGAAACTTGTGGTAGATGTCCTTATTATTTTTCTGTTTAGTTTTTGCTCTTTAGTGAAACTGCTTTTGTATAGAATTTGGTGCTGCTTTACTAGTATTGGTTTTTCTAAAAAAAAAAAAAAGAAAAATTCATTTCATCAATAAAACTTTACAAACTATCCACTTGCTGTAGTGGAACACTACAACTGAAAACCTGGCAAACAAAACTTGCCCACTCCAAGTGTAGCCTGTAAGCAAAATGAAAAGAAACTTTCCCATCATGTTTTATATGGGATCATACTCCAAAGATACATGAATCAAATCAAACCCATCACCCACAAAACCCAGAAAAGAAATAGTTGCACTGGTTTTGATTAATTGCTGCAAATATCTGGTAGCTGTAGGCAAGTGTTTTTGAGTTGTTGATGTCAGATTTTGAAGTTCTGTTGGTGTCTCATTTAAAGATTTCCAATTTCGTGCTGGAAATTCGGCACGATAGGGCAGTAAGGTGAAGAATATAACAACTGTATGTAAAAGTTGTAACTGAATCAGTAAATAGGCTTTGGGTGAGAGAGATATATTGTCCATAAAGAATGAAAAAGGAGAAAGACGAAGAGGAGAATGAATGGGAGGGAGACGGGGAGAGAACAAAATTTTGTTTTTTTTGTTAAAATAATTGGTTTTATTTATTTTTAAATATAATCTCTTTTTATTGTTATGATATATATATAAATTATTAATTTCTAAAAGTTGAGTGAAGTCAATGTATCCTATATATAACGAAATGTGACTCAGTCACTGATACTATCCATTGATGCAAATTTCACTAAAATGGAATGACACCCTACTTGATTACAACAAACAATCTAAGGATTGGCTGTAAGTAAAACTCTTTCAGTTCGAATGCTTTCCAGACAAATAGTTGTGCAATAGCTGACTCGAAACCCTTTAGATGTCTTTGGCGATCAATGTGATGGAAAATTGGAAGACTTGGAGTTAGGCAAAGCTCTTCTTACTTTGTATTTGACACTTTGTTAAATCAATTTTGCTCTCAATGTGATGTGATGCACTGAGTTTGCCGATAGCTCTACAGCTTTCATGTCCAATCCCTCGAGTAACAATCCTTTCTTCGGTTTCTGCTCTTTTTTTTTTTCTTTTAATTTTATACTTTTGCAATAGAAGATCTATTATTGTGTGTAAGCAAATCAAGACTGAAAAAAAATTGTAATCTTGTATTTATTAATGGAAAATTATTACAACTCCGGTATATATACAGTAGCTATAAGAAGAAAAACTTGATTAACAGTTCAATTAGTCTGTTAATCCTTAACTTAATTAACAGCTAATACAAAATTTTAAAAGCATTATCATTACTTGATATCCATAAAAGTAAAAAAAAGAAAACTGACCGTGGGTTGGGTTGAGGTGGTAATACTACTTTAGAGAGTTGTTGAGGGTGATTTTGGGCTTAGGCTAATCCAGTCAATTTTAACTCATTGATACACCAACATTTCCATTATTAAATTAATATAGTAATATTTAATTATTGATGTACGAATAAGAATTTTAAATATAAGTAAACTTACATTATTTATTTAATAAAACATAATAACTTCGACTCGATCTCAACATGTTGTTAAGAAAGCTTGCAACATGTAATTTAAGATCTTCTATTTATAGCATTTGTATAATAATATTAAACAAATAAAGAAGGGAAAAATAGGGAAAAGGTTTAAAAAAATAAACTTAGGAAAGTGAAGCATCGAGGGCACCCGCTCTCCTACACCGAAACCCATATGCCCAACCCATAACCGATAAAACGAAAGGAAGTTCCCAGTCCCCCTTATCCCCTTCTTCTCCAACTCCGAAACTCTATCCCGAAATGTCCATAACTTCCTCTCTCCAATCTCTCAAGCTTTCATCCCCATTTCTCGATGGCACAACATCCCTTTCTCTTCTCTCAAAACCCAATTCTTCTCGGTCTCACCAACCCCTCAAAACCCCAACTTTTCTCCCTCCAATCAGGGCCATGAAATCACTGCAAGGCAAGGTCGTTTGCGCTACAAATGACAAGACAGTGTCCGTGGAAGTGGTGCGTTTAGCTCCGCATCCAAAGTACAAGAGGCGTGTCAGGAAGAAGAAGAAGTTCCAGGCTCATGACCCAGATAACCAATTCAAAGTTGGTGACTTTGTGCAGCTTGAAAAGAGCAGGCCTATTAGCAAGACCAAGACTTTCATTGCTGTGCCTGTACCAAGTAAGAATGGGAGGCAGGAGAAGAAGGAGACAGGGGAGCTTGGGATTCCATTGGAGTCTCAACAGCCTCAAGAGCAGCAGGCTTAGTATTAAGCCCTTGGGTGGGGCCCTTTTATTTAGGTAAATTTGTAAACCTTTGCAAGTATTTTTAGCGTTCGAAAACTGTTTTTTTCTTGGTGTAATAATTGTTGTTTTCATGAGTATGGATTGTTTATCGGGTTGTCATGATCTTGGTGCTCTCTGCTCGAATTTTGATGGGTTTTTTGTTAATTAGTGAAGAAGTTGATGTTCTAGTGATAAAATCAGGATTGAGAGGCTATTTGAGTTTGGGCGCAAATACTGGGGACAATCGGGATTGAGTTCTGTGAAGTAGAATTGTAAGTTCGGAAAATGGTGAAATTGATAAGTAGAACATAATTATGTGGTAGTACTTTGGTTTGTAGGAATGGATTACGGTAGAATTTTGATACGTTTGCTTAATGGATTGAAATGATTATGGCGCTAGGCTACAAGGCAATTGTTCTGTTTTCGTGTTGGTCTGAGAATTTGGGTCCTAGACTTAAGCAGCAATGCAAAGCTGTTTGACCATTGGTTAAAAGGGGAGGGTATAGTTAACAGTCTGTGTCTGTTATGTTTGATAACAACAGTAGTGATTTCCGAAGAGAGAAAATGCTTCACATGGTAATGATTTACCAAAAAAGTTAAAGAGTCCCAAAGTGCATCTCCATGATGCTGCATGAGGGGCCTCATAGGTCCTAAATTTTTTCCATTGACATTGTTTCATAATAATTAGTAATTAAGATTCGCATTACTGCTGCAGCGTCTTGGCATGCAATGATATCTCTGAGACCTTTATTGGTTGGATAATTTTAGCACTATAAAACCCCTAAATCCCTTAAAAAAAACAGTGGATAATTCAACAGATTTCAGGAATATATTTTGCCCGAGGAATCCTCGCATTGCTTCTATGAGTTTCTAACTTTTGGGCTTTAAACAATTCCAGGCTGCATAAGTTGGTAAAGCAATCAAGATAACCACAATATTGCATTAATGAATAGTAATTCTATACAAGAGAATATTTCACTCTCCTAGATCTAAAAAGGTTTTGAAATCCAACTCTCTCCATCCAGCTTGCCCTGTAAAAATATGCCTGAAGTCCAAACCATGTGCTAACCAAGAAGGAATAGAAACAAAGCCCACATCGCAAAAATAGGTCATTTTCTTAAACCTGTTAGTCGTGGGGGTAAAAGGAAGAGAAAAGGAAAAAATAAATAAAAGAAAAACCCTATTGAGTGTTTTACAATTAATATCTACCTAATCAAGAAAACTATCGTGGTCAACCATCTTCGCACTGCAAGCTCGTCTTAATGCTTCGCAATGTGCAAGATATTAGTGTGTTGACAGATTCCACAGATTCCATGGTTAGTTTGGCAGTCGGGGAACTGTTCGTTAGGATTTGGAAAGCTATTGTAAGCAAAGATCCTCCTTCGGTATCATTGCTCTTCTCTTGCCTAGAAGTGATCACTAAAGGCCTTGACTCGAGCCCGTCAGGAAGAATGGAGAACCCTGAAGGTAATATGGCCATGTTGCTTGAGTCGCACCCTGTGATCACTGACTGCATACCAGCTATGTCCACGTGAGCAAAGATCACCATGGATTCAAAAGCATTTGTGCAACTGTCTTGGAGCACCCACGTGCTATTCTCTTTTGACTTCATTGCCTGAACGGAAAAGACGATGCAACTTAGAATGGTGGATAAGATTCAGAAAAAGTATCTTCTATGTTCTGCTTGGTTGCAGGCGAAAGAGAGAAAAAGCATAATTTAATCTGGATTATACCCTGCTGGGAGATGGAGAACTTACTTGAATTGCTACTGCATTGCCCCGATCTTGCCCCTTGGCGAGGTTTGCAATGGACTGTACAGGACCTCCATTTGACATGATATCCCACTAAAGTTTACACAAGAAAGATGGTTAAATGATTATTCTTGTTAAACTTATTCTAGTTGTATGGCATCAAGGCAAAGTTATACTGTATACTACCTCATTGCGACGAGCTTCATCTCTCAAGAAATCAAATAGGACATTAGGAGAGACAGGCAACCAAACGGAAGAAACAGCACAGACAATCACCCCAAGAGGTTCGCCAGGGTCATTTAAATTTTTCCTGGAAGAAACCCTAATGTCTTCCCCTGTTTTACTAGGGACTTTGTTCCAAGTGTGATAGCTTGATGCTCCAATTGCATGGCAAAAGCTCCATGTCATTCGTTGGGCCAACTTCAAAATGCTCTTCCTCCCAGCCAATGTTGCAACACCTAGATGGGCATTAGTCGAAAATTTTCTTTGATGAACAAAAAAATTGTTAACTCAAATAATACAATGGATTAAATTTAAACTTACCAGTTGAATCCTTAGTTGGAACATTGGTTGCCATGAAGAAAACAAGCCGTTCACACTGAAGTTGCAATGTTGCCATCCAATGCCTTGCACCAAAGGCTAGACCACTGCTAACGACGGTGCGGTACATGGTGTGAACGGTGCTTTTCTGGCACTCAAGGTGTTCCACCCAGGTAACCTGAAAAATTGTTGAAATGATCCTCATAAGGTCGTTATCAAAATGAAATTATCTACTCATTTTTTGCATTAAGCAAGAAAGAAACTATCGACTCTTTTGGCACACCACCAATTTTCTTCAACAGAGCCTACGTGCATATATTAAATGTATATGTACCTTGCAATGGCCATTGGATTTATCCTCGATGATGCAACCTGATGGACGTTTTCTGCATTTTACTAAGGATGCATCAATATTTTCCTCAACTTTGTCAATAGAAACGTCGACAATTGCCCATTGTTCAGCACTCAATTGCTTGCAATACCGGACAAAATATACTTCTCTGGTAGGCACCAAGGGTGTGAGCATTTGCAGCTCCGCAAACATCTGCAACCATGGCCATTAATATGATGTGACATTGTATTGCTAGGAATCTGCCTTTCAATTGGACAGTTTGATTACAGAAATAAATGCCCAATAATAAGCTATGTTGGGTATCTCAATTCCAAGAAATTATGGAAGGGTCGGTGAAGCCTAAATGTATAAATAATTTGATCTTCCACTGAGTTCGGGATTGTAGATTAGTTGATTTTTTCCCCTTTTTTTTTTGGGTTAGAGCCAAAAAGAAGAAAAGGTTTTGGCTTTTCACGTGGACCACTTGGCCAAAAAGAAAGAAAGAAAAACGTACAAGCAGATAGCTAGCGTCGAAAATCACCCCTTTCTCAATAAAGTATGTTAAAAATGTGGGAAGTTGCTTTGCAGATTCTTGGCTGTTCCCCAACAATCTAATTAAGACTTGTAGGAAATGATCAAGTACTTCATTCTATGGCAAATTAGCAATCAAATTCCTAAAAGGTCACAGCTGTGCAGCATTTTGACTGAGCTTCACTCTATCTTAACGTTGAATTTCATGTCTTACTCCAATGTACAAGCAACATTTAAACATTGATTCAGATAATTGAAGCTGATTAAAGGTGCATAGAGAGCATGGCTTTTGGATTAAGTTTTGATAGTTAACGTAATACCTAACATTTTGTTTGGTTTGAATTTAAAACCATTTTTGAACCATGCATATCATAATAATAATAACATGGAGAGGTGCTTTTTTCAATTTTAGCCTATTGCTAAACTTTAAGCTAAGTAAGAGCATGATTTGTTGGATTAACCCATATTATATTATTATATATATTATTTGAAATAATAGCTCTTTTTTGTTTTTTGTCATCTTATATATTCTCTTTATTTTGCCTGCATCTGGGATTAAATGATTGATTGAACTAACCATTTTCCATGCTAAATAACAGCTAGTCCTCAATATGTTGAAACCAAGAGAATGCGTACTGGGCAACGTACCAATTGTACAGCACCACTTCTGTTAGGAGCTTCACCGTTGCAAATCACATCAACAGTAGCCGCCTTTGAAATTAAGCATGGGAACATTTCCTTCCATTGATTCTACGGAAAAACCGTAAGGCATTAGTTTTGATTCTTTCAAGAAAAGATGTCAAGGAAGTTTCTATAAATTAGTTAAAGCGACCTAGTATCCATTAATAGTATATAGACTATGCCATATTCTTACCACATCCACGAAGCTTTGAACTAGCCTTGGGAGATCAACAAAAACAACCCCGGTCCCTCTAGAGGCCTCAATGGATCTTTTCGGCCTCCCATTGCTTGAATTTTCGACAGAGAATTCTTTGACATACTCATCATAGTTAAGAATCTCGCGACCAGTCTCGACGCTTCGAACCCACAGCGGTTCACCAGCCGTAGCCATCTTCTTCAACTCTTCCGTTGCTTGGTTAACAATCTCCATAATTCTTGACTTCTCAAGCCCAAATATTCCGGTGTAAAAATCCAATGAGCTCCTGTTTTCTTGGTCATTTGCAGCCGAGCATGAACTAGTCGAAGCTGCCCCTGGAGGGTATTTTCCAATAGCTGCTCTCAGTTTTTCTACCTGAAATGTTTTGAAACGAAAATCTTGTCAGCTTATTGTAATATGCACATTAAATACAGGATTTTAAGGGCAACAAAAAAGCTTCTATCAATCAATCACTTCTCGACACCTCGGCTTTGAGTTTGGCATTCTCGATACGTAGTTGCTGTCCTTCAGTTGTCATGGAGCCATCTTTGCTAGTGGTAGCCATGCCGCAGCTGGGGCAACAAGCTTTGTTTATAGTCTCCCTCATGGCTTTGTTTTCGTCCCGGAGTTTGTCCAGCTCTTGTTTCAACAAAGAATTTTCATGGCGCTCTTGTATAGCCTGCAAATTGGCTACTCCATTAACACTAGCAAAGATGATATACAAAGTGCAACATGAGTAATTAGTTCATTTGTTGAGAAATAATCCGACTTAACCAAAGTTTTTTTAAACGAAGTTAATCACCATTTCAAACTGAAATAGATGAAATGAAAAGTTTAAAACAGAATAATAGGGATTACCTTGATTTGTGTTCGACGATTTTGAAACCAGAACTTGACTTGCCTTGGAGCAAGGCCTAATTGTTTGCTCAGCTGCTGCCTTTGCTTCTCATCTGGATGGGGTGATTCCTTAAACAGACTGGCAACATATTCATGGAAAAGAGGAAAAACAGTCCTTGTTAGAGACACAAAAGAGACCAAATCTCATCATAATCTTTGATCGTATGAGGATAATGTCAAGCAATTAGAGAACAAGAGAAATCACTTCATCCATGGAAAAAGAAAAGAAAAGAAAGCTTCTGGTACAGATGGTTTATTTATTCTTTCCCCGGCGTGGATATCAATCTTCATGTAAAAACAAAGGTAGAAAAAGGTTACTAAAGTCACCATAAAATTTTGAGTCATCTTTAACTTTATAATCTTGTTTCTTCTGTAAGCATGTCACTAACTTTTTATTAAAAATCTTTCCAACTACATCGTACGTATGCTAAGTAATGTATGTATGTATGCATATACGAGAGATGTCCGCATGCAACTCGTAATTAACATAACCAGTTTCATTAAAGAACTAACTTGTCAAATCGCAAACGAGATTTCCATTAGCATCACATAGTGGGTGAATCTGAATTAATTCCAAGATTAACTTAATTAGTTTCTTAACATAAACCTTTTATTTATTTACATGTATGTATGTATGTAATATGAGAATTAAGAAAAGAGGGTGAGAAAATGGAAGAGTACTTACGCTTCCATTTCTCTGATTTGCTCTGCGGTGTGACGATGATACTTCTTCCTCTTCTTCTTTTTGCTTTTGTCCCCATCGTCTTCTTCATCCTCGTGCTCTAATAACTCATCTTCTGATCTTGATCTTGCAGGACCCGAGTTCTCGCTACTAATCTCAACGGTCTCTTCTCTTTTACCTGATCCTCCTCCTCCACTTCCTTCATCTCCTTCCTCCACCTCCATATTCGCAGCTGCTGCAGCCGCCGCGGCACCGGCATCGCGGAATATTCCGGCCTTTCAATAACATAACACGTAGAAATAAGCGGGAAGCGAGAAATAGAAACCAAAACCATAGGAAGGAGAAAAAGAATAGAATTAATGAACATGTACATATATGTATATATATTGCGAATAGACATGGAAAAATGGAGTTAAAACTTACAAGGCTGAGGGAGAGAGCGGGAGAAGCAAAGAAGTCTTTGGTGGGTGGGTTAGACATGTCGACGCCCATGGCACAATGGGATTCGCTTGGGTGAGGAAATGGTTGTTTTAAGGGGTAGCAACGGAGGTGGGCAGAGAGAGGAATTGATGTGGGGTCTTATTGATTTAAGGATATAAAACAAAAAAGAACTCAACCTAAAGAGCGTTGCTTTTCTATTTCGTTTTGAGGAAAATATTGAAAATTAAAAAAAAAAAAAACGTATTCTGTCTTAGGGTTTAGCGAGGAGGGGAGGGGAGGGAAGAAAAAGGCTGGTAGGAGTTGACTGTTAGATATTCTAAGTGGAAAATGTGAAGACCCAACTAACTTTAAGCGGTTGATTCGGGCTCTCCAACGGTATTTTCAGGTTATAATATATATATATATATATATATATATATATATATATATATTCACATATTTCTGGCTTCAGCTTACGGCTGGCTCAAACCATTGGCTCATATAGTACTTTGGCAAAAGGAGTGTTTGGGTCTTAACATTCAAAACATAATAAGGGATCAATTTGCCCATTCGGATCGTTGCTACTGTATAAATCAATTTGTCTGACTATCATATTACTATGGAATTATAGTAAAATTGAAGTGTATTAATTTGATGATTTAATTAGATACCGTGTTTTATGATTTACAAAAATCAAATTTTCTTTTTTTCTCAAGCATAACCTTATCTAGTCTACTTATCTGGACTAAACCTACACATGAAAAATATATCTCAGAGATCCAACAAAAGTTCCTTCCAGCGCTAAAGGTAAGAGAATCACTTTTGTTGACTTGATGTTGAACATGTAGTTGATTACTCGCTTGCTTCACAATATTGTTTGATTGGTAGCCACAAAACTGCTTGTTATCCATTTTCCTGTTTGCACAGTCCTAGGTATATTTGAATTTTCAATGATCTTATAGAATTAAACCTCAAGGTTAAGGCCAGGATTTTCCCCTTTCAAATAATTAATTTTGCTCCTTGAATAAGTTATTCTATCTTTTTAATTTTTTTTTTAGGGTTAATAAGACAGAAGCTAGCTGCGTCTTTTTAATCACAAAAAAAGCATAGAGTAACATATATTTATATATGTATATGGTAAGAATAATTACAAACTTAAAAGAAATAATCTCGCCAAATTTTGGTGAGGATCAAATTAAAGTAAAATATATATATGCTACTACCAGTAATCAATGGAAGTTGACAAATTGTACATGTGAACAGGTCAATAGAATAAACAAAAGTATTTCATCGCTGCTCATAGCCCAGTGGCAGTCATCACCAAAGATAATTTTACTTTGAAATGATCACGTACTAATCTATGTAATCTTTATTTTAATGACAGATATAAACCTAGTAATCAAAACCTAAGAGGCGGCGGCTTTCACTCATTCTGCGGGCTTCGGAGATGATCAAAACTACTCTTCTTATTCTTACCTAATGGTCCCAAATGCATTTTCTTCTTTGGAGGACAATGAACAAATCCAGAGATTAGCTTCGTACTATTAATTATTACTTAAATCCAATAATACCACATTTTTTTGAAAAAGTTTTTTCCCATCAATTAATGAATCAAATTTGAAAGATGGGTACTGTTAATGTTCTTTAGAAAAACTCATGCTCCTATTAATTTTAAAAAAAAATTCAAAAAGTCCATCACTTATTTATGTAATAATCTATAGTACATATGCTTTTCCATCTACCTCTCACATTTAAAATTGGGTAATAACCATAGTTATTATTATTATATTATACACGATACCTATAAATACATTACGATATTAATAAAAAACTATATGTATCTATAAGTGTATCGCAGTTAATTAAATATTGAAAACGTATTATACGATACATGATATATATATATTACAATATGAGACGTAAGATATGATGCGATTGATATATTTTTTATAAACTTAATTATAATTAATTATTAAAATTTTTTTAAGTTTATTTTTTTATTGTTTTGAATTGAAATATAAAAAATTATATTTTATGAGTTTAAATTTTTATATTTTAAACAAAAAATACTAAAAAATTGAATTCTCTTTTATTTTTAACATGGTAAAATTTTTTATTTTTAATTAATAAATTAATATAAAAAATATATATTTTATTTTAAAATCTATATTAATAAAGAATATGTTAAAAGTTTAAATTAAAAAAATAATTATCTTTTCAATTTACATCCTATAATCTTTAATTTTGTTAAAAAATATAATATTTTTTTTAATTTTTTTATTTTACATGTATAAATGTTATTTTTAATTAATTTTAAAATATTTAATTATATCTTACAATATGATATAATACTCGATACTTGATACTCGACATCAAAAAATAAAATTTTAAATACATAATATGTATTTTGATTTAACAACTATAATAATAACGAGTTCAATTATATAAAAGTTTTCCTTCCACCTCAAATATTAATTTTGAAATTAATTTATTGTTCTAACTGTAAATTATTACATTTAGTACAAAAAATTATTACAAATAACACTTATAATCAGTGGTCTTAAGATATTTGATAACAAAAATATAAAAGGAATAATAATAATAAAGAGTAGCTTAGCTGGCGAGCTATGTTGGGAGAAGAGGCGGCTTACCTTGACTGAAGGTCAAACCGTACAGTCTTGATTATGAAGCCACAAAAAACCTATGAGAGTTTGTCTCTTGCTCTTTTATTATTTATATTATTATAATTATTATTATTATATTGGTCCGTGTCTTTATATCATTTAAAGGGTTGAAAGAAGCGAATGCAATTAATGAATTTGGCTCTAAGCTTTTCAATTTTTTTAAAGAAAATCCTCCCAAAGTTTCAAAGTATGGGTTAAGTCAATTCTTAATCTTGTAATCTTTAGACTTTGGGGTGCTAATATCCTTTTCCACAACAGCTACCATCAAATATCAAAACAAAGGCAAAGGCAGGACTCGATCATTAACAAATTTCTCTACTTATTAAAATTTTATTTTCAATTGAAAAAGAAAACCCCTATTTATTTGGAATGATCATGATAACTAATTAAATCCTACAACTATTTATTTGAGGCTCTTCACAAATATCCATAGATATTCTTAATTAGATTTGAGTGATATATAGTGGCACAACAAGGTAGTACAAAATTAAGCATGATGCAATGATACATGGGCACAAATAAATATGAAGAATTTAAGAGATACAATGTTTGTTTAATAAATTCCATTAATAAAAAATAAATAAATAAACAATCAAATCATTTCACTCTAAAATTTAACACATGAATGAGACAATATTTTAAGTGTAAAAGTCAAGATTACTAATTAAGTTGTTAAATAGTTTTAGCCAATTGATTCCTATTTTCTAATTATTTTTTTTTATAAAAAAAAATTCTGGCTTCCAATGAAAGTGATATATGCCTCTAACGACAATTTTTAGCATCAAACTGAATTCTTATTGGACAAATAAACCCACTTTCGGTTTCACTAGTTCTGAAAAAGTTTAAGGGGACAGAGAAATAATACTAGGTATGAATGAACCCCTTCTTTTCACAAAATCCTAATGGATACAACAGGACAAGAAATTTGGTTAATACTTTCCCAATTTTTCTCTCTTTAAAATCAATCTTCTTTTGAATTTTCGAGTGGGTTTTTCTACGACATTGAGAAGCAAAAAAAAAAAATTCAAAAGCTTTTCTTGTCTTTGTTTCTCACTGAAAACACCTACCTGAAGGTAGAGACGGGGGAATAAAGAGGAATTTTCCTTCACCTCAAAAACCCATGCCCATGTCGACATGATATTATTCATAAGAGAATCTATAAGAACATGGGACCCTTAAAAAGGGGCAAAGATGGGGTTTAGCTAATGGTGCCATGAAGCTTTTGGGAAAGCTAATTTTTTGGATCGAACTAGCAAAAGTTCTTTGCTTTGGAGGTCTAGTAGAGGTATATACATTGAAAAGTTTAACAGACAAAACCACCCAGGTATGTGACCCTAATTGTGATTCACTTCTTATTTGTCTTTCATTTCATGTGCTAAACATTTGACCTTTTCAATTGCTTATGTGTGTAATAGAAACTTAATTTAAGTTGATGTTCAAAGAACAATATAAATGAATGGGTGCTATTATGAGCCATCAGCATCCATAATTAAAGTTTTGGTGCCATACGGGTTATGATTAAGCTCATCTGCAATTCAACTTAGACATATATCAACTTTTATTTTTGTTCATTTTATCTGCTTTGGTAGTTAGGACTGGTAGAAATATAAGGCAATCACATGGTTCCCAATAAAATAAAAGAAACAAACAAAAGGAAATTGTAGAGTACAGTATTAATTGATTTGAGGTTTCTCTCTCTCTCTCTCTCTACTTTATCTATCTTTTTATCATACATTGCTAACATCTTTTCTTCATCATCTATTAGGGAAAGCAAAAGGAGAAAACCAAGATATCTTGCAAGCAAGAACCAACAAGTATCTTTGCTTTCTTAATTTTAAAGTCTTTGCATGGATTTCTTATGATGCAAGTATTGGCGCCTTGAGATAACAATATGAAATTTCAAGGGGGGGAAAAGTTGGGAAAGGGTGTGATAATTTCAATAAATTTAAGCTAGGAAAGATGTACTAGAATCATGAGATTATTGAAAAGGCTACACAAGAAAGGGGCAGAGTCCTCAAAATTTAAAGGAAAAGGGGAAGGTAGAAGAAATACTCATTATAATATCAGCTACTTTAAATAAAAATGGTATTCATAAAAAGCTGACAAAGTGAAATTAGTGCCCAAGAAAAATTGACTAAATCATGCAAACCAAACATCATTAAAGGACGGATTAAACAATCAAATATCAAAGTATATGGACCAAATAGTACAGCAATTACTGTTATACCTATCCAATATGGCAGATAATTACTTCAGAGTATTACTCTAATCCTCTTCCTATTTATGATTTCATTCAACTTCAGGGATTTTTTCTCATATTTCTTCGCTCTAACAACTCAGAGTTATATATTATGCTTCTCATTGTGTCCTGTCTTCCTAATATTTATTTTCAATTCTATTTACTAAGATGTAAATATTGACAACAGATTTGCAAAGTTACAATTACAGTCACAGCGACATACAGATTGATATCAGATGTGAGATGACAGGCGCAATGCCTTCGGTTAATCAGCTGAAACAAAGGACAGTTGTGAGCATTTAATTCCTTCTTCCCAAGTGTTCTTGGGTTTTTAAGATTATCATACAACAGATGAGAACTCTTGCAAAAAAGCATAAAATAAATGAACACCTTCCAATATAGTAATTTGCATAGGCTAAGACTGATTGAATCCTATTAAATTACAAATTTCCAGTCATCAAGTTAACCACAAATCCTAACACGTCACGCCATCTGGATGGATCAAGCATAATGCAAAACCAGAGGTCCCATAGGCATGTGAGAAAACCATCAATAGGAGCATGTCACATAGAGAATTGAGCCAAATTATGATGCCATAATGATCTGTTTAAATACAACTAGCATGATTTTTGTAAGATCATGGTATTATACAAACGCTTCTAACTGCCTATCAAACTTCTAGTGACCGTTAGTTGTTGAAGAGTAGATGAAATGGTGGTTCTGTAAATCAGGTGAAAGCCTACCACCAAAAGAGTGCCATGTAAATTTGAACTAATAAATACTATGGAATATAATTGCTAAGAAAATTTCATGGAGTGGGTTTCAAACAAAAGAAATTTTGATGCCTGAAGTTTATGTCATTCATTCATGAATGCCCATTGAGGTCATATAAGTTTCCTAGGGGAAAGGGAATCTCCACCTCATTTGTCCCTTCTTAGTAATTGAACTAACTATATCTGTGGAGCATGCATGCAGTAGGAGTTAGTTGAGATAGAAAATGTGACAGACACTGAAATTTATGCACAAGGCTCCGGGATATATCAATTCATTTACATAACAAACAAACTGCAACTAATTAAATGAGCTATTTCAAACCTATCCCTTCACCTGCTCTTAAAGCTCATCCCTGGCAGCTAACTAATGGCAGCTTAACTGGCGTCTCCTCCAATTTATACGCTGATATCAATTAAATAGATTAAATCATCATGAAATGCAATCAATTAAGGATTTCATTATCATTTTTCATTAGAAATTTTCATATCTTCCAATCTGTCATACATATGGGACTAAGGTCTCATTATGCAATTCATCAGAAAAAAGTATGGTCACTATTCCAAGTTTGATCTCTTTGTCCATGTAATCCAAGCAAATATATTTGAATTTTTTTATGATTTCAACAACAATATTTGTTTACCAAATGAAAGAAGAGAAACAGTGAAACAAAAATATTCATATTAGGACTTTTCTAAGTTCAATGAAATCAGGCGCAGCCAGAGCTTAGCATTCCGTCTAAACTTAAAGTTAGGCCAAAACCTGAAAACTTCTCATTGTTTAGAAAATCCTAACAACAGAATAAGATTCATCAACTACAAATCTCAATCATCCTCGTCAGATGGCTGCATTTTGTTTGAACAATGGCCGTGACTTACATGTTGACGGTTCAAATTAAAGGCACAAAAAAAAGAGTGAAAAGGAACTACCAGTCCACAACTAACTCACCTCATGCACTATAGTCTAGATATTCATACTTGAGGCAAGTCCATCAGCAATGGCAAATGAATTTTCACACGTATATATTTTTTATAACAATCAGAAATACAGGTTTACTTTGGTTTCATTGGCGGCAAATTGCCTTAAATTTATCCATGAAAAGCCCACTGGAAAACTGCCAAAAACAAAAGGAGTGAATTGTGAGCTAAGTGTCCACAGCAGAGAAGATGAGGACAATGTTACCAAGAACTGCAAATGCAAAACTAGAATTTTAAGTGCTTTCAGTGCTTGCCAAGACAAGAGCTATGCAAATGTTGGCATGCAAAACTGTAAGGAAGGAACTCACAGTTTACAGGATTGGACATTCATGCTACCAAAAACCAATGGCACAGCTTTCGCTGTGTATGGGCACCAGTTTGACTTTTGCCTGGCACGTGTGACATGCAGCCCAGCAGTGGCAAATTTCGTGCAAAATTAATTTCAGCCCATAGTTGATATGCAGGAATATATTTCTACTCTGTCTGACAAAAGTAGCAAAGCATATTAATTTTATGCGGTAAGTGTAGTTTGGAAGTTCCTGGAGGCATCAAAGTCCATGACATCGACATACATAATTGTCAATTGCTCATCAAAAAGCCTATATCATAATTGTTAGGCTACATCAAATAAAACATATAACATACAAACAAAACAGTGAGACAGGATAAACCCCTCAGAAACAAAGCACAGCATGCTCATCATGAAATTTTACTAAGCAGCATGGATGCTTGTAAGACAAAGCACAGCATGCTCTCATTAAATGTTTATTCACCTATAGGTTTGAATTAATTCTTACTTGCAAACATTCTTGGACAAAATGATGGTGCACAAATTTTCAGCTCTAGCAACAAAGTTTCAGAGTTAAATAGATCCCAATCTCCACTGGATTACCAAACATTCAGTAAAAACAATGAAATAATTAAGTTGCAGAGCACAGAGAAAATGACCACACCTTCAGATTTACCTAAATTTTATTTTTCACATTGTAAAAACAGGAGCAGACAAGTAAAACATAGCCTGCAAAAGTATAACTAGCAGAGCAACGTGCAGAAGCATAACTACCATGGTTCTTATTTAAATGTGCCAAGAAGTTAATTTTTACGGTTAAATACCCTTACCACCCTAAGTTTTGATTGAAATTATACAAAAGTCCATTAGTTTTCAAAATAGACACTCCGCCCCAAAAAATAATTTTCTGTTGGACACGTAGATCCAACCATTAGTCAATCGTTAGTGTTTCCGTCAACTTGCTGACGTAGCAAGGGTAAAAGGATAATTTTACCCTTGATTAATTTTTATAATTACTATTATATAATTTTATTATTTTTTATTAATTAAAAAAAAAGGCTCCCCATCTAGGGAGCACTGATATAGTGCTCTCCTCCCTTGGGAGCACCGGCCGATGCTCCCCTTTCTTGGGGAGTTGGCCTTCTTTTTTTTAATTTTTTTTTAAAAAATATAATAATAATTTTTTAAATTAATAAAGAAAGAAAGTGCAATTTTGTCATTTCACAATTTCTGTTAACGGTGTTTGCACTCTTGAGGCGAAGTGTCCATTTCGGAAACAAATGGACTTTTTTGTAATTTTGATCAAAACTTAAAAGGTAAGGGTATTTTACCCTAATTTTTAATATCATGAAGACTTCAAATACTGTTTCATGATAGGGAAACAGCATTTCAGCATGGTATATCAATTATTTAATAAGAAATCATTCTTATTGCCATTATATTGCAGTACAAAAAGCATTATACTCATATGACCAGAACAAGACCATGTGACCTGTTCCTGATTACATTCAGCACTTTGTGATATTCAGCATGCAAAGCAAAAGTTTTAACTTGAACCAAAATAAAGGCAAAATTTTGCTTGCTAAACTATAAAGGCAATAATATGGGGATTCTAGAATATAAAGAAGTAGAAACTGACAAAACACTGACATCACAAGCACGATGAAGTAACATTGCAAGCGTAATTTGGGTCTATTTTGCTCCTAATTGTAGTTTGTGGTGAAATCAATGGAACTCATTATTCTACAAACAAGCTTTCCACACAATCTCCACAAACAGGTGAAGTTTCTTTCAATGACACCAAATGCTGCCTATTTCACGTACAAAGAATTGTTTCCTTCCAAATACAAGCAAAAGATACTCATTTCTGCCTTGATAAACTTTTCAATTTCTTTTTGCTGTCGAGGGGCCTAACACCAGAAAAGCTATACATATTTTCATAGCAACCACCTACAAGGTCAGCCGATAATTTTAGAAGGGGCTGCTGAACTTATTCAATCGAGACTCACCTAACTGCCACGTCTGAAACAAATAATCAAGAAGTGAAAGGCTAGAGGTATTAGAAAAAATAACCAAGTCCTATTTATTTATATTCTACAAAGTGCATGAGTTAGTTTTCAAGGTGTCTTTCAAGTTTCAACAATATTATCTTCATTGTTGACTGTTTTGCAGCATAGGGACGGGGTACATAAAAAGATCAAGGGACAATCATACAACAGAACCAATATCTTCTTTACTTTTCGTGGTGGCATACACAATACTGTGCTGTCTAAACTTCAATAAAGAAGATAATACATTGATCAATTTTGTGGTGCATAGCATACCTTCATTTACCAATCTGTAATACGAAAATGTATAGTAATACAGGGATATTTTGAAACCATTTTGTCAGGTTATATATTTGTGCATCCACAGCAGAAAATAACAAAGACTAGAGATATAAGGAGGGTTGTAAGTGAATAGAGCTACTCAAAAACTACTCAAACTCAATTTGATCAAAGCTGATTCAGCTCATTAATCACTTCTAATAAACACTCTGGAGCTTGATTCTCAACCTTGTTTAATAAATGGGACAACCTTCAACATAGGAATGCTTGGCTCATTTAAGCCTGTGAATAAAGATAGTCAGTAGCTTGTTTAGGGGCTCACTAATGAACTAGTTTACTTGGAAAACATCAACTATAATTTTTATATTATGCAACATTTATTCTATATCTAGAATAGAAATGACAATATGAATGTTCATTTTGATTTGTCATAATTATTTATCATAAAATGATATGAAATTAAAAATTTATCGAGTTGTCTAAGGTAGCTAACAAGATCAAGCTCCTCAAGCTCGAGCTCTTTTATGCGCATGAGCTACACTCTAGCTTAAAAATCTAAGCTTGAGCTAAAACCTTGATCAAGCCAAGCTTGAGCAAATGGAGCTCACTCAAGCTTGGATCATTTATAGCCCTAGATATAAGCAATGAATAGGTTAAAGACGTTTCTTTCCTTTCCTGTTTCTTGTTATAAAGAAACTATATGCTACAACTACTCGAAATAGGATATAGACAATTGAATAAAAGAGATATTCAAAAAAAAAATCCAAATAAATAATTTAGTATTCAATTATAAAGCTTGAAGCTTTCCATTGAGTCCTTCTAGAATCCTATCCAATTTAAGATGCAATAGCCACTATATATTGCCGAATGCACCATTAATCCTCATGGAAGTCACAAAAGTAGCAGACTTATATCAAAAGCATAATATCAATTTTTCTTAGCAATGACCAATAATTTCCCTACTTTTCTGACAATTAAGAAGGAAAAGTTGGAAAGAAACTTTTCTCAAATTGTATGACAAATGTTAGACAGTCAATCTCAAAAAAAGGAGAGAGAGAGAGAGAGAAAAATGCCTGTTTACAGCTATAAAATCAAATCTCAGGCAAGTAATCACTCCAGAGATTACAATAGAGTTGCATTTACTTCAAGAAATTCCCTTTTAATAGAATCTAAAAACCCAGATAGCACATTTCAGATACCAATGCTTTATATTTACATATCATTATATGAAATTCATAATAAAAACTGAAATCAACAGATTTAAAAGGTATATCAAAAATTAAAATTAGTGCAAGAAATGGCCAAAATCCAAGTGTTTTCTTCCATTTTCTTTCCTTCACATTTTTTTTCTTTTCCTATGTTTTCTGTGGAACCCAACAGAGGGTAACTGTCAAACCTGGGAAGAAAGGCAGGAGAAACATTGGGGAGAAGCTGAGATCAATGCCAGATGCTGGGGGAACTAGGAAACGCGTTGAGAAGTTATTTTCTAACGTCCTGTGTTTGGACGCCGAGAAAATTGAGAAACGGGAAGAAAATGCGGGAAATTTGATTTGATGGGTGGAGGGTGTCAACTTTAAAGAACAGTTTGTGTTGCTTTTCCCATCTCTTTGGGCTACAATAGGTTGGGCCTCATATTTCTTCATCTTTTCTTATCCCTGGCCTGCTTTCATCTATCAACCCAAGCCCTTCCATTTTTTTAAATCAATTTAAACAAAATATTAATTATAGTAATTGTCTCTTTAAAATTATTATTTTTGTTTTTGGAGTCATTTCAATCAATTAAAATTAGTTTAAATTTCATTATTTATAATTGATAACTGCATAACATAAGAGGGAGGAGTAGTCGTTAAGGATTCTATCAGCTACCTGTGTTGATTACAAGCAAATTCTTTTATTTTGCTTTGGTGTGCTGGTTTGCCGGCAGCCAAACCATTACTGGATGAATACAGAACAATGCAAAGTAACTAATTTACTCATTAAAGGGAAAATAAAACACTAAGGAAAACAGCATTAAGCCTAGGTCCAGAATTTCTTTCCTGGTAAGAGCATTGTAGGTTAGAAACTTCAATTACCCTTGTTTCGTCACCTGGGTCCAGATAGAATGGATGCTGGCTGTGGACTTGAAGGTACCATAACCACTTCAGCTGGAGCTTCCACTAGCGTTGAAGTTAAAAAGCTATAATCAGAAATAGGTTCCATGGTCAGTAGACCTTCCAAAACCTTCAACACCATGGACATTGAAGGCCTTTTATTATAATCACTTTGCAAGCACCAAATGGCAATCCTTATCATCTTGACAACTTCTTCTGCATTTTGTTGTATGCCTTCAATACAATTATCGGCCATGTCGAAAAGTTGATTCTGTTCTGCCTTTTGTTTCAGTACGGGCAAAAGTAAATAGTCATCTTCATCAGGCTGAGAGAAATCCAGATTTCTTCTTCCACAAACAATTTCCAATATGACAACACCAAAGCTATACACATCAACCTTTTCTGTTATCCTTCTGCTTAACCATTCAGGGGCCAGATATCCTCTCGTTCCTCGCATTTGAGTTATGACATGGCTTTGGCTCCTGTCAATTGGCCTTGCCAAACCAAAATCTGATAACTTGGCATTAAAGCTGCCATCTAGAAGAATGTTTTCAGGCTTAACATCTAAATGAGCTATTCTCATTCGACAATCCTCATGCAGATATGCTAGTCCTTTGGCAATATCAAGGATGATGTTCTTCCTGATTTCCCATTTGAGTGTTGTAGCTGGATTTTTGTGGAAGATCCACTTATCCAATGACCCGTTATTCATGTGCTCATAAACCAAAATCCTATTTGAATTTCCAATGCAGAAGCCTATTAATCTCACCAAGTTGACATGGTGTATGCTGCCGATTGTCTTCACCTCCGCTAAAAACTCTTTCCTACCTTGACCCAAGCGATCCAAGCGCTTTACTGCAATTTTTGTACCATCACCCAAAGTCCCTTCAAACACTGATCCAAATCCTCCTCCCCCAATCCTTTTATTGAAATTTTCTGTCGCAGACCTCAGATCTTCATAATTGAATCTTGTGGGCAAATTTGTTGCAAGATTTAATGACTTCTCCCAGTCATCTTCAGTTTTCCTTCTTCCTTCTTCCTCTATAGATCCCCGCTTCCTTAGGATGTGAACAGATGCCCCAATTAGGTTAAATGTGAATATTAAAGCTGCAACTAGAGGTCCTATGATTAATTCAATCCGAATTGATTTCTTTCTTGCCAATGGTGGACTTGGACTTGGTGATGCAGGGCTTGCTGGAACCAATGTTGATCTCTGCACCTTTATGAAGGATGTAGAGTTGTAACGATCTAACACTGGTGAAGTACTCATCAATGAAAAAATTTGAGATGGTAAGGAGCAGTTGCCACTCAAGTTATTAGAATTGTAGTGAAAGAAAGCTGCTTTGCAGGAACAATTCTCTAAACAAGCATGTTTGCAACTCTCAATGTCTGTATCGGAAATAGCTGCCACAAAACTAAAATAAGAAACGTTAGGAAGTTCTATAAATGAGTGAAGATGAGTAGATTGGCACGACAGAGGGGTGGCTTGTCTGCATCCAGCACTGGAATTCAACTGCTGGAAATAGCTAGTGTCTCCATTATTTCCTACAGGACAACTACATTGTCCGTTTGAGCATATCCCATACTTTCCACAAACAGTTGGATATGCACATATGCCGCGATTGTCTGTCAAGATGTCAGCAACTTCCGACGCATTTGCTCGATCCCATTGGTAGACTCTCAAATGTCCATCTGTATCTAATCTCAGAAACTGAAATTTTTCTGTTTCAGAAGTGAAACGTGCTGCAATTGTCTGTCTTGTATATTCAAGTTCAAGCCTTCCAGTCCTAAATTGCTTAGATTCAGCACCTTCATTAAAGACTTGAAGGTACACCTGTGGGGGACTGGACTGAATAAAAGCGTATAGATTGTCGTTTGCAAAAGACAAGAAAAACTGACCCGGCGTCCAATTTGAAGCAGACACACTGGCGATCAGCCTTTGCCCTTCTTCTATTGTTTGACCTGGGAGCCATGTATTTATAGGATAATCCAAAGAGCTCCAAACGGTGGTGCTAAAAAGCTCCAGACCGTTGAATTCAACAAGCATAAGAGTCCCATTTCCTGTTATGTTCATATAATTAACTGAACGATCTGATGTATTCGAGGACCATATAAACATACCATCAGCATCAGTTAGCACCAAATTTCCATCTCCAGTGAACTCAAGCGTGGCATTGTCCTTGACAGGATTGTCTCTGTTGGCTATCCAGAGTATTTGTGGAGAGCCTGACTCAATAATTGTAGAATCACTTGTTGCTTCGACTGCAAAAACAGCAAAATAGAAGGAATTAGTGGTTTTACGACCATAAAATCCACACCCGAAAGCTGGGAAATTTGCTGGGTTGCTGGTATTGAGAAGTATAGATCTAATAGTTGAACCATCAACAAAGTCTACACTTCCCCTTGATATGAAATCATTGTTTCTCCAGGTGTTTGGTAGTTCAGCAGAGGCATAATCAGTTTCGACTGCATGGAGGAAGAAAGGAAAATTAACCAAGGATAGAATAAGTTGAACTAAGCATGTCATGGCAGCCATAGTATTTTCTTGTAAACATGAAATAATCAGCTGAAGTTTAGGTAGGCTGAGTTAGAGAGAAAAGCCAAAGCTATGCTTAAAATATGAGTATTGGGGCTTGGTAAAACCATGAAAGAAAGTAATTTTATTGAGGCTCATACAGAGCTCATGCTTCCTCTGCGTTTTCTATTTTTTTGAGATAAAACATTTTCAGGTTTCCCTAAGCACACTTTTGAAGTAGCTAATTGCCGTATATGAAAAACCATAACCTCTTTTTTTCTGAAGCAACTTGGCATTGAATGCAAGAAATGAGCAGGGTCCCAGCAATGGTGGAGTCAAAGAACGATTCCCAAAGTTTTGGCAGGACTAGAAAGACGCGTTAACCATGAAAAAGAAATTGCAGTTGGGACATACAGCCATATTCTTACAGTTACAGGCAATGCTAAAGATTGATTACGAAGTGTTTTGGGCTGTGCCAAATGGACAACCATGCGTGATTGACAGTCTAGCCGACTTGGATTGCAATTTCCATCCGCTTGAGTAAAGTCCTGGTAAGGCAATCAATTCAACTTTCTATAAGCACAAGTAGAAGAACAATTTCATTGCCATAAAGTTTCAAGGAATATTCATAGCAAACAAAAGGTCAAAGTCAAGTTTGCATCCCCTTTTGGGGCACAAAAGCTAACACATTTCATTGCTAGAATTGCGTTATGAATTAGCTACTGAATCTGTTTTGCACGTTATCAATGGAGACATCCTTGGATGTGAGGAAATCCTTTTTCCCTACTCGCTTTATGCTTCACCTGTTACTATGGAGTTAAAGACTTGAAGTTGAGAGCTTTTGTAGCCTGAGCAATTGAGCAGCAAAGCAACTTTAATTTTAGGCTTTCTTTAATTGTTATCATTGCTCTTTTTGTTATTTTCTATTTCTTATTATTTATTTCTTTTCAAAGTTTTTTTTTTGAGCCAAATATCTTTCCAAAGTTTGCTTAAAATAAAGACAAAAAAGAAGTAAATATATATAATCCCATATAGTACTTAATTAAAAGGGTAAATAAATAAAACCTGTCAATACAAATGTGAATAATATTGTTCATATATATATATATATATGTGTTTGTGTGTGTGTTTACACAAAAATAAAATTTTTCATTATTTATTATTTGGTTTTGTAGTAAACATAGTTTTTTTTTTACTTTTTTTTCTAAAAGCAAAAAAAAGTGACAAAAATAACTACTAAATAAATGTTCATATTCGATTTAATGAACCACAAACTTAATCAACTGCTACTATATTTGAAAACATAATGTCTCTCAAAAAACATTATTTGAAAACATTAATTTATGAGAGTGAATTTGGATTTGATTAGTTATTACATAAATTGTGAAAATGACATGTATATATTATATAAAAATTAATTAAGATTCAATATACTTTTATTTTTAAAGAGATAAAAAAGATTAATTTAAATTGGAATATCAAAAAAATTATAAATTTAAAAATAATCATAAAAATCATATGTACACATATACTATATGTCTATATCACGCCATTTATACTAAATTTAAATACTAAATTTTAAAATCCACAAACCAATACATTACTCCGGCGCTCCCTCACCACAGAAAAAGGGGAAAAAAGCCACACTTTCTCTGTCTCCGTCTCTTTCTATTTTGGCTCTTCCCAAGTCCAAAGGTAAAATTACCCACTTTTTATGATAAACTCAATTCTCTTCTTCCGATCAGAATCTTCGTTCTTTTTATGATAAATCTAATCCCTGTTGGACTTTAAAGCAAATTACCCACTTCGCCAAATCACTTCTTTTTTTCCGCTTTTTGGTGCTTTCTTTCTAGCAGGTATTCATGGCTTCCATTACAGCAAGTTTGCCTCCGCCGTTGTTCTTGCAAGCGAGAAAAACCCTTTTCAGGACTCTTCGGAAACCTCCAGTTTCTTCTATAAGAGGTATGAATTTGACTTTACCAATTTTGTAACAACCTTTTTGTAGTATGTTTTAGTCTACTGTAAAATAGCACGGTCAACTACTGCACTTGTTTACTTGGATAGTTTGTCGTAAACTTTACAGTTTATGTTAGTTGTTTTAAATATATTTTTTTTCAAAGTGATGGCGCCTTTAGTTACATATAGATTTTTGTGGATTCCAGCTTCTGAAACGACAGAGCAAAATGTAAAAGGAAGAAACTTTCGACACTGAAAAACTAGACTTACTTTCGGGTAAGCTAGGGGTATTTGAGTCGAAAATTGAGGAACACTTATTTCGTAAAGGATGTCTAATCTCGAGCTTAGATTTGGAGTTAGAGCATTGATGTAAAAACTTTTGGAAAAAAAGGGTGTCTAATCACTGTGGGAGTTTAGCTAAAACAGTGGCGTCTTTTATGTTTTTGTGTGACGGTCTGGTAAAAGAAGGTTCCCGGTGGAATATCAATGATGAAGTTTTAGATTAAAGTTATGACTTGGAAATGAAAGACTCATTTGTTAATTGGCGGCATTGGAAAGTCCTAGCTTAGGGCAAGGAGGAAATGCTCAGTACTTAATGGTCCTCAGTGTGATAGCCAAATTCAGACTTCCAGAATCTAGCATTATGTTTATTGACTATCCTTGATTCATGCCATTAATGGGATTCATCTGTGTTAGTCTCAGGACAGCTGCGGTTGTAGGTAGAGAACAATTACTTCTAATTAGCAAAAATGTCTTTAAGACTTATTCTTCGGGCAGAATATAGTTTGTTTTTCTGTTTCATGTTGAAAGAAACCTTTTTCAGATTCAAAACTACAAAATGTTCTGGTAATCAGGTTCTATTAGTTGCAATATTCCATGTTTTGGGTGATTTACACTTTCCCTTTGTTTCATAATTTCCCTTTAGCAGGGAGACAAAACTGTGCTTTTGTTGTAAAGGCTACAGGGGAAAGCTCTGAGTCTTCCACTTCACTTAGTATTGTCAAGTCCGTTCAAAATGTTGTAAGTCTTCTTCTTCTTCTTCTTCCTCTTGGCTTTCTCTCTCTCTCTCTCTCTCTCTCTCTCTCTCACACACACACACACACACACACAAATCTTCATTATCATCATTGTACTCCCTTTATGGTCAAAAACATATTGGGGGGGTGGGGATGCAATACAACGTACTTTACTCAAGAAATAGCAGAATTTGTATGCTTGGGTCAGTTTTGTATCAGACTATAACTTTTCTTTATGTTTTTCCTTCTACATTTGCCATTTCTTTATTCCTTGTATAGTTTTTAGTTAAATTTTTTATATTGCTCTGGCTAACTTTGTATTTTGCTGAAATTTCAAGGCTATTTATAGAACTCCTTTTAATAGATAATCTGGTAACTTTAAATTGCTGGATAATCTTGATATGTAATTATCTTGGTAATGGTAACTTAATTTAATTTATCAAGATAATTAAGGGGTAAATCCTTATCTTTTGATAAATTGGTTAACTTGTTTAGACTATTATGGGTGTTATCTCAGAAGTCCAACATTTTCATGCAACGTGAGTTGCTTAGTGCGGTATCAGTAGATGCTTGGTAGATTCAGCTAACAGGAAGTCAAAAGATTTTCTACTCCAGTTTTATCAGTTGTTTATGTGTTTGTCCTCGGACTTTTGCCTTAAACAGCTGTTCTCATATAGGCGTAACATTTTTTTAACTTACATTGCTTGAATTTGTTTGAAACAGTGGGATAAATCTGATGAAGATAGGGTAGGTCTCATTGGACTGGGATTTGCAGCTATAGTGGCCCTGTGGGCATCAGCAAATTTGGTTTCGGTAATATGATTGTTTTCGAGTTTTAATCTATCCTTTCCTTATTTTGAGATCATACCATCTCTCTTATATTAATAGCTTTGAGCTTAAAGAGAACTTGTCATGGCTTCAATCCTGCATCCCTTCATCCTTTTATTGATCTGAACAGGCTGTTGACAAATTGCCCCTTATCCCAAATGTGCTAGAAGTTATTGGAATACTGTTTTCATTGGTAAGGAATCTGATACATTTATGTTAAGACTTGTTGCTAAGAGCACTAGCTAGTTTATGAAGACTGGAAATCTCTTGTTTATTTTCTTTATATTTTGGTCCCTCGTTAGCTTTCAGCTGGATAATATCTCACTGGCACATCTTTATGTTTCACCTTTGCTCTTCAAGGTTTGAACTTCTAAGTACTAACTTGTTTCTTTTTCTTGCTTTTCAGTGGTTTATATATCGATATCTCTTGTTCAAACCTGATCGGTAAGTAGAATTCTTTGACTGCAGAGATTGGTTGATGGTGAAACCTGTAGATGTCGCTTGTACATGAGATATTGTTCTCCTACTTCGAAGAAGAGAACACTATAGGTGATTGTTCGAACTTTGACTCAATCTGGAGCAACCAACGTCTGAACTTTTCGTTTTTTGCAGGGAAGAACTGTTCCAAATCATCAAGAAGTCATTATCCGAAATTTTGGAACAGTGAATTCTGCTGCCAAACCGTATTTACAGTAGCGGAGGGTGTAATTTCTGAACATAACAGATAGCCAACCCCTCAGTTGGTTTATGGTTTGTGTTGTCATAATTGAAATATGGTGGCATCTTCATGGCGTAATCTTTTTGTATTGGTGTGAAGTGTGATGTCCAGAGTTACTATCCATGGAAACAACCAAAGCGTATGTGTGTAGATGTCATGGGCAGGTCACAGCGTCACTGTTTCCCCATGGTGCCGTATGAAAAATTTGGACTCAAGTTCAATTTTTCTTTTGCTTGTGGGTGTGGTTGTAACTTTTGTTCGCATGTTTGGTTTGGGTTTTTTGTTAGTTTAAAAGTTATTATGATGTTTTTACTGAAAGTAATAGTTTTTAGAATTAACCTAAAATTGTTTGATAAATTTATATGTATAAGTTGTTAGTAAAATAATTTATATAAATTTTAATTTGAATTAAAATTACTATAAAAAAAAAGTATTGTTTGGATTATATTTAATAAATAATGATATTTTTGATAAAAAATAAAAATTCTCGCTGATGTGCTTTTTTTTAAAAAAAAATGAAAAGCTTCTTCTTGGACTTTTGAAATATAGTTTAGATTTAATTTTTTTTAAAAAAAGCTTTTTTTTTTAAACTTCTAAAAATCTTAATTGACTTAGTTTTCGATTTTAAAAGAAAATAAATTGAAAAAAAGTTAAATCAAACAGACATTCTATAGAGAAAAAGTATGCTCAATTATGTATTCTCAAGATTGGATGAGGAAATACAGGAAATATGTCAACATGTTTGAGCCTTAGGATATCACTGCCGGCATCCTCTTAACATCAAACTTCAGTTCCTGTCTTCTCTGTTGGGACTGTTCTAGCTGACGAGAACTCATTTGTGCCCGTAACATGAACAAGATACCAATAAGGGAACAGAAAAGCATCATCTACATTTGAAATAAAAGATTTACAAAAATATGTTAGTTTTTAGAGGAAGCAAAATGAATTCCAGCCCCATGAAAAACTCAGATCACAAAGTTAAAAGCTCAAATTTAAAACAATCCAAAGATCAATCCGACTCAAAATTATATTATCTCGAATTAACATTGAAATTTTAAAAATAATAACTAGTGTCATTGTAATCCAAATCTTGAACGTTCGGAAATTGAAATGATCAGAATTTTTGTGATCGGAACTGAAATAACCCAACTGTCCGTAGACCGCCTCTGAGCACAATAACAAACAAAGACATTTGCATAATTGCGTCCTATCTTATTTTTTACGTCAGGACTGAAATATCATCCTGATGGTTCCATTTAGAGTCAGGAAGACAGGCAGGGGAAGATAGCAACTCAAATTCGTATCACCTCTGTCTCGGTTGTCAGTTGTAAGCTATTTTTTTGACTGTTCTAATGTCGTGATTATCTTCCAAATCTGCCTTAGAGTTAGGTTGCTATTCCCTTTTAAGTGAGTTGTAGCATCTATCTTTCCAACCTCGCTGGAAATGACATTACTAAGGGTAAAATGGTGGACTAGCAGTACTTTCAAATATGCGCTGCTTGACAGATAGGCATTTTCCCGAGGATACTTATTCAGTTCAGGATATATTTTCATATTCTCGCATAATCTTTTCATATTTATTCTTGAGTGATAGATGAGATGAGGCACGGAGGCATACCTTTTATGTTTGTGAAAGTAATGAGTTCCTCAAGAAAATCTCGGAAACTTGACAAAACACACCTTTCCTGCTCTGCGTTGGCATTCTTGATGTCACGGTCCAGAATCTGCTTTGGAGAAGTAGGCTCCATGAACTGCTTATGTTTCTCATTACAGATTAATTTGACTGTTCCATGAGGCAAAATCCTTCCTTCTTGCGCATCAGTAGCACCACCATCTAGATGAAGGTCATCAGGGACCCTTTTCTGAAAATAAGCAGGTCCCCCTGGGCAGTCCTCCTCCTTGGCTTCAGGAGCATCTCCATGCTTGTTCTCTGCTGCATCTTTCACGTCTGCCATGCCAACTTTGTCTGGGCCAAAAATAATTGCAGGGTTGTAAAAAAAGCAGCTTTATTTGTAAGTCACTTTTATCTTTACGTCTGGCTGGTCAACTTTGTCTAAAAAATAAGTGCATGAGTTTTAAAAAAAAAACCCTTATCTGTAAGTCACATATCTTTCTACAATATGAACTCAAGACTTTGATACACAAGAAACAACCCAGAATAAGGGAAGGTTGAAAGGTAAGATAAAATGTTTAATTCAAACATTGTAACAAGATATCAAAACAATAGATAAGTGGATAGACAACAACAATTAGAATAGAATATTTTGGTCCCAACCACAGTATACCTGCAAATTGTTTGGCAGCTTCTGCTAACACTGCCAATCCTGAGCAGACATTTCTTGTGTCTTCTAGATGAAGGACATCAGCTAACGTCAATCTTGCACCATAATCAGATATCACCAGTTAGATTTTGTTTACAAACAAGAATACAACACTTTCGGTCAAGTAAATGAAGAATGACTCAGGATAATATAAACCTGTATGGATGCCTAAAAGAGCCCAGCATAGCAGAATTAATGATATGACAAGTAGGCTCAACTGACAAGGTAGCCGACGGACAAGAATTTTTTAGATTATTCACCTGCCAAAGAAGAAAAACTCAGTAACCGCCTTTCAAAAAAAAAAAAAACTCAGCAACCAATGAGTCCCCTAAGTTTGAAGTGAAGAAAACTTGTAATAGGAAATAGTAAATACTAGCTTGGTGTTGCTCCAACCACAAAAAGAGAAGACAATACTTGAATGTTGCTAAGCATTTGATACCTTCTGAAAATCAGAGAAGCTTTCAATTAGTGTATCTTTCTCATTTGAATGGAGCTCCAGATGTTTCCTCTTCCTCGATTCCTGGGACAAGCACTGGCCTGATAAACCAGTGGCATTTGATGTTGCAGCAGTAACCCTTTGAATGTAGATTTTGGTATCAATACAATCCTCACCGATGACTGCCATTAGCCCCCCAGATCCTTTAAAACTCCTGTAAAATTTTCTATTACCATTGTCCTTCGAAGAAATAGCAACCCTACCCTCACATCCTTTAGAGTTCTCATAGATTTTGGACTTACTGTCATCTTTGCCAGAAGCAGCCATCGTGCCCTTGCATACCTCAAAATTCTTGCAATCCACACATTTGCAGTTCTCAGAGCAGAAGACATTAGCTTGGAAACACTCACAGTACCTCTTGAGACATTCAGACTTCTTGCAGTGGCATCCCCTCTCGTGTCTCCCCGCTGGTGGAGCACCCTCTTTATCGCCCTACTTTTATATCATTTGAAATTGAGAGAATGAATGACAGGAAAAATAACTTTAGAAGATAATAAAAGCAGGTTAGTACATGTGTGACCCGAACTAAACCTGAAAGCCCTCTTGCCCAGGGAAAAAAGGATGCAGAACTATACAGATGATTTGAACAAAATTTCACTTCTCTCAACCACTGAACTTCAGGGATAATTAACCAAAATTTTCTAGCATCCCCTTTTAAAGAACAAGTAACAATAATTATTTCTCGTAAGCCTTGAGTTAGATTCTCTTCTGTAAAACAAGTTAATGATCCCTGAATTTCATGAAAGTGACAAGAAATTTTCAGCAGATAATTTAACCTAAGCGACCGGTTGAATTGCCTCATGTAGAAGCTTTTATCAAATGTATCCATATATAGAAATTTCAATTTAAATGTCTCTATACAATGAGTTATTGCCCATATAGAATCAACCCAAAAAAGTAACTGGGGCCTTTTTTCTTTTTTGGAAAGATTTACTTACATACCCCGACATCTTGAGGACTACATGGAGTGCTCGCAATCTTAGGCTTGAAGGCGTGTGGATTACGTTCTAGGATGATTTCAGCAGCGGCTTTCCTTAAATCCCCATTCTCAACATTATTGCAACAATCAGCACAATTACACCCATTACAGTACTCTCTGGAAGCAAAGCACTCGCAATACCTGTCCATTTGTGCATGGGAAGTTTAGAGAGTAATTCTTTGAAAAGCAAATGCATTGCGTTGTAGATTTGTACTCTATATGCAAAACAAAAATCATCATGTTGCATCCAATCAAGCTGCAGAGTTGCATGTCGGATACAGGATTCAGCCATTTGTCAAGCACCAACAGGACAAATATCAGAATGAACTTACCAAGACCACTACTTCGTATACAAGGGAAAAGGGAGATGGGCAAACTGATGGAAATAATGGTTGCAGTAATCATAAAGCAAGATATCCACTTTCACCCCTTATTGCTTGTTAGATTACAACTTTTTTTGGATAACAACGCAGGGTTTCATTTCAAGGCCCATCTTGGACAGGCTATTATACATTTTTGTTTCACCACTTTAGAAAAACATAGAGAATATAGAAAGATTTTCATCTGGCTTATAACATGCAATTCTGCAGACTTTGGGGATGGTAGTTAAATAAGTAAGAAAGAAGCTAATGCATGACTGAAGAAACAGCTCATTTGTCACTACATAAACAACTCAAAGTTCAACTACATAAACTTTAAGTAATGTAACTCACAATTTTAAGCATTTGGATTGTTTGCAACCGCATTGTTTTGGACCCTTCGGAGTACCACTGTTTGCTTTAATATTAGCCTGCGGGAGTGGTATTGGAATCGGAGACTCTGGCTTGCTGCTTGAAATAAATAAAAGATAAAATGGAATTAGATTTTACAATGTCAAAGAAGCTTGCTTTTAAGAAATACAAACGCAAGAAGTACTATCATTTTCATGAACTTAAACCTTTTGTTATAAGTACCTTTATCTCTGCTCTCTTTTCCCTTTTCCTCCGATTTCTCAGCAACCAAACAGAAAATGAAGCTGATTTTACCTTTCCCCTTCCTTTTCATTTCTTTTTTCTTTTAATGCCAACTCTAGTAAACTTAAACAGGAAAAAGCAAGAACTAATTCTAATAAAGAATAAACTCACATAGAGGAAGACGCACACCGAGGAGATAAATGCAGCTCGGAGCTCGGCTTCACCACCGGCAACTGCGGCGAGGTGGTGATGATGGGAGATAGGCCGAACTCTGTGAAGATAAGCTGCCTAGCCAGCTTCTTTTTGGGTGGGAAATGTGGTGATGATCTCTCTTTAACTGTAACCTTAACCGAATCCCTCGTCCTTTCAACTGATTTGATCCCTTTTGGCGGGAAACAAGGAGTCGCTGTAACTACCTCGATCGTTTTCGGCGGGAAATCTCCATTCTCGATCTCGAGTTGCCGCATTGCTTTTCAGGTGTTCTGATCCACAGTGTACACAGAGGTGAAGTAAGTCGGTAAATCAAATTAGAAAAACAAAACTGGAGATTTTATCATCTGTCTGTTTGATAGCTGGAAAATGAAAGAAAAGAAAACGAAAAAGACAGTTTCATGGAGAGAGAGAGAGAGAGAGAGATTTTGGAGCGAAAGTTTTGAGTATTTAAGAGAGAGAGAGAGAAAGAGTGGGGGATGGAGGGGTGGTTACGGAGGCCGTTAATTCGGGTGTTTTAATATTGCTTTTGCTATTAAACATTTATATTATAAAAAAATTTAAATTGTAATATGACATTATATTAAAATCAAAATTTTTATCTTTATATTTATAAAAATTAAAAAGAGACAAACATTAGGATTAAAGAGAGTAATTTTATGTAACGATTTAGATTAATTGGAAAGGCTAAGTGCCATTTTTATTATTTATATTTGTTTTAAATAAAATTTTTTATTTACTTGATCTTATCATAAATTGTGTGAAAATATATTTGAAATTTATGCCTATGGCTTCAATGGATAATTGAAATTTTATAAGTTTACATGATTAATTGTTTGTAAAATTTTTTAATAAGTGGCCCCTCTATTGCTAGAGGAATCAAAACACTAGATCTAAAGAGGAAGGCAATAAAGACAATTTAGGATGAGCATCTGATTAAATCGATTAATTTGGTCAATTAAATCAATTTTCCTAAAAAAGTTAATTAAACTGAATCGATTTAAAGCTTTATTCAACTTTAGTCATTTTAATCAATTTGACCTAATTTTTAAAACTTTTTCTAAATTCATTTAATAATATATTAATAATATACTTTATGTTCCCACATATTACATTTTTACTTATAATTTTACTAATATACCAATATAATACATTATTAATATATAATTTCTGACTAATTAGTATATTAATAAGTATACTATGTAGTATACTTGTTATACTATATATTGATTAATTAGTGTATTAATAAGTATACCATGTATAGTGTATTAAGATATATATTATATGTATAACAATAAACAATGTATACTGCATTAATATTTACTATATATAATTATATAGTAAATATGTATATTGTATTAATATATATTATATTTAGTGCATAACTATAAACTAATACTATGCATAGTATATTAATATATTACTATATATAGTTAATATATACTTGTATAATATATAAGCATACTTAGAAGTCATATAATATATAGTATAATAGTATATTGTTATATATTATAATATGCTAACATTAACTCATTAAGTCATTCATATATCAATATATAGTGTATTAATAAGTTATTATATTTAATTACTAATATAAGTTATATTACTACAGTATACTAATATTAATAATTTTAACATAACTTAGTATGTTAATATAAATCATACTATATTATATATTACAATAGTTTATTAATAACTTATAAGAAGTAAATTACTTTAATCTATAGTCTATAGCGTATAGACTATATATTGTATATTAATAAATATATTATATAGAGTATAATATATTAATAACTTAATATAAAAATAAGTTAATATAACAAGTTACACTAATATGTTAATACATTATTAACTTAAATTTAGAGTATAGTTTTCATTATATTTTTTATTTTGTTTAATTTTAAATAACTTTTTGTATGATTATATTTATATCAATAATGTTAATGTCTAAATAAAGTTTATTTTAATTTTTATTCTTTGATGCTTGATGTCTAAATCAAAGTCATTTATTCATACATAAGTATAGAAAAAATGTGAGAGTGAATACATGTTAGAAAAACCCTATTGTTGATTAAATCTAGCTCTTCAATCATATGTATGTATAGAAAAACTATGTGAGTGCGTACATGTAATAAAAGCCCTTAAAATATTCTAATTTCAAAATCGATAAATTAGGTTATCCGACTTAAAAAATGTTTTACCGAACCAAACTGACTTAACCGAATGTATTAGTCAATTTAACCAAATCAAACCAAATTAACTAAATTGAAGTAACTAAATTTGTTGATTAATGCAGTTTTGATCGAATTTTGCTTACCCTTAAAAGACATGGTTAGAAATGTGACTCATTTCACCAAATTTGTGAATGACAAATTTGAGTCAAAAGCTAGACGTATCATTGTAATAGAGAGTTTTGTACTGATTCAAAGAAAATAGAATTGCTTTTATGAATTATCGTAAAAGAGTATGTAAAAAAGTTTCTTAATCTACTGGCTCAAGCCAATTAGAAATAGTTTTTAATATAGATGGATCTTTGGTAATTGGAAATATGATCAAGAGCCTGTTAGAAAGAGTTTTGTTAGAAATGTTAGCTCCGTAATGATGAGGAAATATCCAAGAGGGGTGAGAATTGGATTTTTAAATTTCTTTTCAACAAATAGAACTTTTAAGTTTGAAGACAGGGTTTCAAATTTGTTTTCACTTAAAAAAACAAAAGAAATGAACAGTCAAGTTGAAAACAAATTTTCAAAACTCTCCAAAGTAAAGTGCACAAATATATCAAAGTAAATCAAATGTGATTTGAAAAGTGAGTGAGCCGTGAGTTTCTAAAACTTCTTCAAGACAAAAAGCATAAGTTCAAACAATGAAAGGAATAGAGAAAAGACATAGATTTTATAAAGGTTCAGCTTTCTCTATAGATGCTTACATTCTCTCCTTTAACTCACTAAAGACTTTGAAATCCACTAAAAGATCTACTTTTTAAAGGATTAAGTATAATTTTTATAAATCACTGCTTTTCATGGATCAAACATAACCTTACTATTTTTTAAAGGCTCATGTATAATCTCTCTATTTTTTAAAAATTGAAACATAATCTCTCTACTTTTCAAAAATTAAGCATAACCTTTACAAACACTACCTTTTGAAAGCTTAGGCATCACTTTTCTCTCTTTTACGACAATGAAGCAGATATACCTATAAAAGGTTGGTTTCACTATGAAAGTACATGGAGGAAAAGTTTGAAAGCGCTACAGATGATTACAAAAGATATAAATGAAAGTACAAAGAATTTGAAGCTCAAAAGCTAGGTGGAAGAATATAAGTGGTTTCCTTTTGGTTGTTTTCTTTTTCCTATTCTTCTTCTTCATCTCATTTGATTCTTAATCAAATAATCTTTTTCTATTCTCTTCTCTTTCTCAAAAAGTGTTGGAAAAGTTCTTGTTATACTTGGAAAAAATTTATAACCGTTGGGGATAACTTGGTGGAAAATTAGTCATTTTTCTTGTCCTTTTCATATATAACGACTACTTTCTAGAGCTTGGGAATCGACCTTTTATACTCGAGAAATTGATTTTTTTTTTTGGTTTGGAGCATTCTGTCTTGTAAAAATAGATCAGTGCATTCTTGTGAAGTCGATTCTTCTTGCCTTAAAGCATTTTGTTTTCTAAGCATTGACTTTTGCATTTTTGAGAAGTTGATTTTCCTTGTCTCTAGAGTATTCTATTTTTTGAGAATCAATCTCTACATTCTTGAGCAATTGATTCTTCTTCATCCCAAATTTTTAAGCATTGATCTTTTGCTCCTTTAAAAATAGATTCTACTTTCACTTTGGACTCCAAATTCAAAATTCAAATTTGCTTTTACTGGCTCTATCTTATTCAATTCTCCATTATTTTTTGCTTTTTCTTCAAGTTTTTGAGTTTTTCTCTTGCAACTTTGAGAATCCATCACTTAATGCTTAAAAAGTCGATTCTTGCTCTTCCAGGGACTTTTATATCTTCAAGAATTGATATTTCCTTTTCCAAAAGTTGATTTTTCTTGCTTGAACATGAAATTCAAAATATTCAAAAGATTTTCCTTTCACAAACAACTTCAAACAACAAATTCAAATATCATTCAAGCAAGGAAACATTAAGACACTTCAAAAGCATTCAAGGATTACTCAAATAATAAATTTTAATCATTTTTGTAATTTCAAACTCTAATCATTTTCAAGTTAATAAGTTTGGCTAAAACAATAATTTTAGATGAGTTGCCTTTTAAGTTAATTTGTGGAAAGAAAGGGATTTAAGTGATACATGTTAGCTTCAAGTTTAATGTTTCACGTTCTATCTAGATGGATTGTAGTTAGAAACTATTATCATTTTAATATTGATGAAAGGGTTAGTTTGAAGAAATTTTTACATTATTCTTTATATAGGATATCCTTAACCATAAACACTTAGACCTCATTACAAAGAGTTAACTACATTTGTCTTACAACACACTTTAAAGATGCTGATTGGAAATTAAACAAAAAAAAATTATATTTTTGTCTAATATCTGGTCATAGAAGTGATGATGTTGGTATGGAAATTGACAAGGATTTACATGATTGAAGAATTGATAAGGTTTTTACTATCATAATTGACAATGCTAGTTCAAATATGTTGCAATAACATACTTGAAAAAAGTTCAACCAATTAGGAATTAGTATAGTAGAAGGCAAATATCTTCATTCGAGATGCATTACACACATAATCAACCTAGTTGTCAATGATGGATTAAAAGAATTTAATAATTTAACTGCTCATGTTAAGAAGGCAATGAGATATGCAAGACAATCACTATCGAGGTTGTAAAATTTAAGGAGTGTGTTAAGATTGAAACAATTCAAACCAAGAGTTTGTTGTGCTTAGAAGTTAGCATTAGGTGGAATTTGACTTACTTGATATTAGATGAGTCTAAAAAATTTGAAAAGCCCTTTGAGAGGTTTGATGAGAGGGATCTTTGTGGAAACGATCTCTTGTTAGGAGATGGTATGCTTAATAGTGATGATTGGGCATCTATTAGGAGATTAGTCACTTTTTTTACAGCATTTTTACAATCTTACCATAAAAGTTTCAAAATGGTCATATGTCACGTTTAATATTTTCTTTGAGGAAATTTGTGAAGTTTATTGTTTTTTTGCATGATTAGTAATTAAGCGGTGGTGTTGAGTTCAATTCAATGGCTTGAAGAAATAAGGAAAAGTATGATAACTATTTAGGGGAATGTC